AAAAAAACCTCAAATCGATGTAAGAACATCATAATCAGATTCTCTGAACCCGAAAACCCCATAAATATATAAACTTTTATCATACTAGCCCTTTCCCTTTTGGAACTACACTTAATCTTTAGCTCAGATGGCGGCCATTTTGGATTTGCCCAATATGGCGGCCCCAGGGGGCGCCCTTCTTGGCGCCCGGCAGAAATCGTAATAGTATGGTATAAGCTACCTCTGGACCAAATTTGGTACTTTTAGAAGAATCTGCACCAAACAACCCCTAACAGCCCTGACTATGAAGAACTGCTCCGTCAATCACGCGAAACGGCGAAATATACAGCTGGGCCTGTATAGCTCCCAAATCCCATGAGTGTGCGCGAGCATGAGTGTGTGCGTGCGTGTGCACGTACACGTGCGTGCGTGCGTTCGTGTGTGTGCACGTACACGTGCGTGCGTGCGTCCGTGTGTGTGCACGTACACGTGCGTGCGTGCGTGCGTGCGCGCGTGTGCATGTGCATGTATACGTGCGTGCGCACGTGCCCGTGCGTGCATGAGTGTGTCCGTGCTTCTGCACGTACACGTGCGTGCGTGCGAGCGTGCGTACGTACATGTGCGTGTGAACTTACACGTGCGTGCATGCGTGCGTGCGTCCGTGTGTGTGCACGTACACGTGCGTGCGTGCGTGCGTGCGTGCGTGTGCAGGTACACGTGTGTGCATGTGTGCGTGCGTACGTTCGTGTGTGTGTAGGTACACGTGCGTGCGTGCGTGCATGCATGTGCACGTAGACGTGCGTACGTGCGTGCGTGCGCACGTACACGTGCGTGCATGAGTGTGTGTGTGCACGTACACGTGCGTGCGTGTGCTTGTATCGAACAATATCACGCATCTGCTTGCTACCAACCGTAATATGGATAAACAGAAAAATACAGAAAACAAGAAAATAATTAAAAAACAGACGGGATTCGATCGAACGACATTTTAGCAGTGTCGTCTCTGCTCTATGCGTTCAGCTATCGAGGCATTGGGGTTTTATGTGATGGATGTGCCTTGAATTCACTGGGGCGTCATTGAGGAGTTTGAGGCACGTGATTTGTATCAACCAATGGGATTTTCGAGGGCATCGTCACCGAGTAAACATCGTGAGTGGCATGCGGTGGGCGTAGTCATTGAGGTAATTAAGGTTATTTCAGCTTTATTATAGTTTTTCGTGCGCTTTTAGATGCCAACAATTTTCAACGATGTTACGATGACATGCTTACCAGTGTTCGGATATATATATATACATAAAATATCAGTGTAAGTGAGCATTGTTGAGATGTTAAATTCATTGATTTGTTGAATGCATTATTATCAATACATTGTATTTGTACTTTAACATAAACACGACATTATGTATAACATAACGACGTTGTCATTTATGTGGTGTAATGCTGTCTAAGAGTTGCTGCACTCATAATAAAATAATAAAACCAATTTTCTTTACCTTTTTTAACAATTCTGGTCGTTTACCTTTACGTTTCTTTTAAATCTCATTACGATATAAAGTGGACAGTAATAGTGAACGTCATGTCTAACTCCCAAAAACTTATTAATTCTCGGTTATCTATCAAGTTTATGCATATATGGTGTAATTCTCTCTATAAACTGCTCAGTTATCATACGTTTATGATGGTAGGTTCTTCAGACGAGGTCCCGCGAATAAAAAGGGAAATGCTATCCCCCCGGGCGTGGAGGGACAGTACCGCAATGTGGCAGCACTAATGTTAGGATTAGGGTTAGGATCAGGGTTATGGTTAGGGATATAAGGCCATGTCTAGTACGGAAGTATGACTGTGGAATCTTTCTGTGGAAGATTTGGACTTTGAAGTATACGTCAACTGTATCACGTGACTGTCCCTCCACGCCCGGGGGATAGCAACACCCGAATAAAAAAGACAACGCTTGTCATGGAATGACCGTTAGAGGGCGTTATAGTGCCCAGCCACGTCTGAAACCATAGAGATATAATATAGAGACACCGGTATTAGTCATTAGTGATCACTAGTGACACTAGTAGGTAGACACTAACTAGCATTATTTCTACGTCTGAAACTGAAGGTCAAGTAGAGAGCACGTAGCGTCCCAACGTTAAGTGCACAGCGTTATTAATGACGCGTCAACACACCGGCTCTCACCAGACTCCTCCAGATAACGGCAATCAGGCGGCGCTATGAGGTAATTAAATTCCTCATGAAGCAGGTTGAGGGGGGATGCTTCTATGGGGGTGTTTATAACCAGGCTTATGCATGCGACACGGTTGAGTATACTCGTGCATATACTGCGATAGATATATAGCTATAGGCTAATGCGGTGACGGCGCTAGTACCACCGCACATAGCTGCGTGCCAGTGAATCTGTTCACTAGCCCAGTGGGCACACGAAAATTATATATTATAGCTGCGTGCGGTGCGTGTTGTACATTCATGCGAGCTTAGTGGAATCCTTCGCAGGTTCTTGTGTTGTTGCTTACTATAGCGAGTCTCTTGAGACACGCGTAAGGTTCCACAGCTGTTTTCTACGCGTGCGGATTTTTCAGCAGGAGAGAGAGAGGGGAGGGAGAGAGGGGGAGGGAGGGAGAAAGAGAGAGAGGGGGAAGGAGAGCGGGGGGAGGAAGGGAGAAAGAGAGAGAGAGGGGGCGTAGAGAAACAGCGAGCGAGTGAGGAGAAGATAGAGAGGGAGAGACAAAGAGAGAGAGCGCGAGAGAGCGAGCGAGCGAGAGAGGGCGAGAGAGAGAGAGAGAGGGTGGGAGAAAGAGAAGGAGAGGGAGAGAGAGAGAGAGAGAGAGAGAGAGAGAGAGAGAGAGAGAGAGAGAGAGAGAGAGAGAGAGAGAGAGAGAGAGAGAGAGAGAGAGAGAGAGAAAGAGAGAGAGAGACAGACAGACAGATAGACAGACAGAGAGAGAAAGAAACAGACAGAGAGCGAGCGGGGAGTGAGAGGAGAGAGAGAAAGACATTATTGACGAGAATTGTGAATCGAAGACCGAGTGAATCCTAAATAATCAACGACTTTAATCCGTACAGAGCCTTTCAATTTCACACGGTTACCGTGTCGTCAAGGAATTGACGCGCTGACGATGCGCGCAGACGAACTATTAGCGGAGGCAGAGCTCGGCGCTCCGTTACTCTAGCTGCCTATGATCATCATTAGACCTTATATATTACTGGCCTATGATCATTATAATTATACCTTACTGGTACGGGGTGTGGTACGGGGTTAGGTAGGGATGGAGCAAGAGCGAGCGAAAGAGAGGGGAAAGAGAGATAGAGACAAAGAAAGAGAGAGAGAGAGAGCGAGAGCGAGAGAGAGAGGGACAGAGAGAGAAAGAGAAAGAGAGAGAACGGGGGGAGAGAGAGCGAAAGAGAAGGTGAGCGAGAGAGAGAGAGAGAAAGAATGACAGTGAACGAAAAATGCGATAGGAAAATAGAGACGGGGAGAGAGATAAAGAGTGAACAAATAGTAAGTGAAAGCGAGAGAGGGGAAGAGCGAGGGAGAGGGAAAAAGAAAAGAGAAAGAGAAGAGAGACAGAGTAGGCGAGCGACAGACAGGAGAGAGCTGTGGAGGAAAATTAGCGGTTATGACGTCATCATTTATCGTTAGCTTGTAACATCTATATAAAGTATCGATTGACGATTGATTGATTAATTGATTGATCGATTATCGATTGATTGAACGATTGACTGATTGATCGGTTGACGTGTGGCGCACTTCTGTCTCGTTGGCTATCATCATTGCTCCAACAACGCTATTAAAACATGTAGACAATTTTTTACGCATACGACAACCTTCATAATATTTCTGTATATTCACCATAGACACACACGTACGCACGCACAGACACACAATATATATGTGTATTATATATACATAAAAACATAAATAAAGAATATAATTATATATATAATTATGAATATATATATATATATATATATATATAATATATTCGTGGTTTTTCCTGTAAAACATGTGGGAACAGGAATGTGTAGATGTTTTTAACGACACTCGGTGATTTACTGTGCTACTAACAATGCTACGATAACTTTTTCTGTTGCTGTTTCTAGTTGCTGATGCTACTACTACAACTAGCGTTGCTTATGCTATATGCTATATGCTATATGCTATATCTACTATTAGTGTTGATGCTGCTTGTGCAGATTCTACGGTTGCTGCTGCTGTTGCTGCTGCTGCTACTTTTGCAGATGCTACTGCTGCTGCCGTTACTGTTGCTGCTGCTGCTACTACTGTTGCTGCTGCTGCTGCTGCTGCTGCTGCTGCTGCTGCTACTGCTGCTACTGTTGCTGCTGTAGCTGTTGCTGCTACTGCTACTACTGCTGCTGCTATTACTACTGCTGCTGCTGCTGCTACTACTAGTACCTAATCATACGTTCATAAAATATAATTGCTACATCTCCTCAATTCATACTGACATGATGGTTGAACATCAACACAGACTCGAATTTTACGTGGTTTCACATACTTCGCATTTACTACGTCTTAAACATTTAAACACCTAATATAGATACCATACCCAATATATTCCAATTCAGTTCTGTTTCAGATTTCCTCCAATGCTGGTACAACGTGCATAATATATACATATATCGTAAACATCCATGACGTGACGGAAAAGCTAACCATTTTAATTTACCCTACTCGTACCTTCTACGCTGGTTTATATATGGTTAATACGCTCTTGATATAACTCGTACTTTCACAGCCTCACAGACACTGTACCAAGTATGGTTCGCACGACATGTAAGAACATTTCTCCTCTATACGCTCCTATTTTGATATCTCTCGAAGCTTAGTTATTTTTTTGAAGGCGATCTTTCATTCCCCGTGGGATTGTGGTTCCCGCATACATACTCAGTACACGCCCGTATTCTGATACTTTCCGAAGCGCAGAAACTTCTTGAAGGTGACCTTGAACTCTCTGCAGCATATTGACTCCCAAGCTGACGTCGTCACTACACGCCTGTATTCTGGTACTTTCGGACAGTAGCTTCTGGAAGGCGACCTTGAACATGAAGGTGACCTTGAACATGAAGATGACCTTGAACATGAAGGTGACCTTGAACATGAAGGTGACCTTGAACTCCCTGCAGCATAATGACTCACACGCAGACGTCGTCAGTACACGCCCGTATTCTGGTACTTTCCGAAGCGCAGCAGTTTCCTGAAGGCGGCCTTGAACTCTCTGTACTTGAACGCGTAGATGACTGGGTTCATCGTGCTGTTGCAGAAGAGCAGGATGTCGGAGCAGACGGCGATGATCGTGTACTGCGGCTGTCCGCTGGTCTCGCCCTTGAATGCCAGCCATGTGTAGAACGTGTAGGCGGGAGTAACGCAGACGAACATGATGCCGATGACGAGCGCGAACACCTTGACGGTGCGCATGACGCGACGCACGTGATCGACGTGATCCGACGTCGTCTGCTGTTGGAACGACTGCTCGTCGCGTCTGATGAGCCTCGCCTGCCGCCAGGAGGCGCGCATGACGGCCGTGTAGAGAGCGAGCATGATGACGAGCACGACGATATAGTGCAGCTCGAGCGCCAGGATGTGATACTTGTTCATGAACGCCTCGAAGAAGCAGATGACGTCGAAGTTGCCGACGAAGACGGCCGGGATCGTGTAGAGCAAGATGGCGTACACCCAGATGCCCGACGTCAGCTTCGTCGCCAGCGACATCGTCATCATCGAGTTGTAGCGCAGCGGGTACATGACGGCAATATATCTGTCGACGGCGATTCCGAGGCAGTTAAAGATTGACACGGCCGTCGTGACTATGGGCGCTCCGACGCGGAAAAAGCAGACGTAATGTCGGTAGGAGCCCTCCTTCACCTGCAGGCCCGTCGCGTCGAAGATGAGCATGACGACGACACCGAGAGCGACGGTGATGTCGGCGGCTGCGAGACTCACCACGAAGCGGTTGCAGGTAGTCTGCAGCGGAGCGTAGAGCCGCACGGAGGCGATCACAAGCGCGTTCGACAACACGATGCAGACGATGAGAACGCAGATGACGGCCGTATGCATGACGTCAGCAATCGAACCCGGCCCGAAATCGCTGACGTCACTGGAGTTATCCCGCGCGGTGATGACGGCAGCGGTGGTGGCATTTCCGGCGGCGGCGGCGGTCGCTTGTGCGGTCAAGGTCAAGGTTGTTGCTTCAAGGTTGTCCATCAGAGCGGTACTGTGATCTCCGATCGTCACGCAAGCGTTTACGAGCGCTCAACTGCTGGGAGGCGGTAACGAAAACGAAGAGGGGTATTAATGATGACGATAGTGTGAAGATATAGTAGCTTTACGGTGACGTTTACGATGGACCACACGCGATTCCATGTCAGGACTGGTGTAGCCATGCGTGCATGCGTGTACACGCACACTAGAGAGAGAGAGAGAGAGAGAGAGAGACATTATTGACGAGCATTGTGAATCGAAGACCGAGTGAATCCCAAATAATCAACGACTTTAATCCGTACAGAACCTTTCAATTTCACACGGTTACCGTGTCGTCAAGGAATGATCGCGCGTGCGCATTTGCATAATCGGGACAACTTCAAGGTGACTGGCTCCGCGATGACTAACATAATTTGCCTGTTACATAGGTTTCACACCTATTTTGCTCCTTATGCTGTGGACACACTAGCCGATTTTTCATGCGATTGAGCCGCTCGGCTGAATGATGATGATAGTCACATGATTGAAAATGGCACCGTTTGATTGGCTGATGAATTGTACATTCGGGCGCGCGTAGTAGAGCATTGTATCGTCGCATTGTATAGTATTGCGTTGTTTGGGCGCGCATTGTATATAGTCGCGTGACTCAAATAATTATCAAACATGTTTGATTCGGGCGACTCAGCCGGCCGACTCGAAAATCGACCGCGACTCACTGGACACACTAGGCGATTTCAGCCGGGCGGCTCGACCGCATGAAAAATCGCCTAGTGTGTCCACCCCTTAAACGACTGCCCATCTCATTAGTAGCAGTACCGATCGAGACAAACCGACGATACGTTGTAGGAATTCAGCTAATCACGCCACCCGAAGCAAAAGCTCACAGCTTCAACACACTATCGCATTGTAAGTATGGTTTCGACGCACATCTCCCATTCAGAGACTGGCAGATTGGCGCGCGCGCGCGCGCGAGCAAACACACTCGGTGTACTGTTACACAGCTATACACCACTGTGAGTAAACACGAAAGCTACAATCATCATCATCATCATCATCCTCTCTTATGACAAAAATCCATTCAGAATCAGCGATGACAGAATGATATTCCTACCGTGACAATCGAGCTGCTATTCAGTAACAGTAAACAGTAACAGTAACAGTAACAGTAACAGTAACAGTAACAGTAACAGTAACAGTAACAGTAACAGTAACAGAAGCCGCCACCACGACAGACGCAATGGAAAGATGATGAGAGGGGGAAGGGATGGGAGAAGGTAAGCGGTTCTAAGAAGTCGCTAGCTCCGGGAACCCCGGGATTCTGTGAAGCGAGCGAGAGCACATTATACGGTGATTGAATAACGACGTTAGGAGCACGCAAGTTTGTCGCAGAAGTCACGTATAACTCGATAACATTGTCGGCGTGGAAGTTTGTCGTGTTTTACACGCAAAACGCACTCTGTGCGCAGCGGAATTTGAGAACCAAAATAGAAATAATGCTCGCAACATGAAACACGGGTTGTTAACGTAATAACAGGCCTCCATCGCGCGAAACCTAGCTTTAAGTACAACAAAATAGAGGAAGTAAATCCGACAAAAAGTTTCATTTTGACCATTTGTTTTTTTCCGACATATAAATAATAGAATTGGATGCAAAGCACGGTGGTATATTATATAGGCAAGCCCTAGTATAAGCAACAAGTCCTTAGCCTGTAAACACGCAAATAAGATTTGTGTGTGTGTGTATGTGTGTGTGTGTGTGTGTGTGTGTGTGTGTGTGTGTGTGTGTGTGTGTGTGTGTGTGTGTGTGTGTTCACTTGTATACACCACACACACGCCGGTATGAACGTACGCACGCGCACTTGTATACACCACACACGCGCACTTGTATACACCACGCACGCGCACTTGTATACACCACGCACGCGCACTTGTATACACCACACGCGCGCACTTGTATACACTACACACGCGCCGGTATGAACGCACGCACGCCGGTATGAACGCACGCACGCGTGTATGAACGCACGCACGCCGGTATGAACGCACGAACGCGTGTATAAACGCACGCACGCCGGTATGAACGCACGCACGCGTGTATAAACGCACGCACGCCGGTATGAACGCACGCACGCATGTATAAACGTACGCACGCCTAAATACAAGCTGCGTTGTATGAACGTACGCACGCCTGAATACACGCACGCATACATGTATAAACGCACGCACGCCTGTATGAACGCACGCACGCATGTATAAACGCACGAACGCCTGAATACTCGCACGCACGCATGGATAAACGCACGCACGCATGTATGAACGCATGCACGCTTGTATGAACGCACGCACGCATGTATAAGCGCACGCATGCCTGTATGAACGCACGAACGCCTGTATGAACGCACGCACGCATGTATAAACGCACGCACGCCTGTATGAACGCACGCACGCCTGAATACACGCACGCGCGCATATATAATCGACGTCTGCATGTATCCACGTACGCACATCTGGCTGAAAGCACATGTGCTTATAAACGCGTGCACGCACACCTGTACGAACGCACGCACCGCATGTTTATACGCACGCACGCACCTGAGTAGGACACGCGCGCGTGTAGAATAACGTACGCACGCCTATACGTACACAAGGCACGCACCGCGTGTTTAAACGCACGCACGCCTGAATAAGGCACGCACGCATGTAAAAATCATACAGACGCCTACACAAAGCACACACCGCCTGTAAAATAACGTACGCACGCCTACACAAGGCACGCACTGCGTGTTTAAACGCACGCACGCCTGAATACGGCACGCGCGCATGTATAAATCATACACACGCCTCTGAATAGGGCGCGCCCGTCTAAGTAAGGCACGCGTGCATGTAAAAAACGCACGCACGCACGTACGCACGCATGTATGATCACACGCTCGTATGAGGCCAGATTTACGCGATGCCACGGGAAATTAGTTTACGTACTATGGTAAATCTGCATGTGAAATGTATAGGTTCTGTGTAGTAGAACCCGAGAGATTGTTTACGATAGACGTAGTGCGTGTTTATCGCAGACTACCATGCGACAACACATCATGTCTTTGATTCTGAGACCACCACTGACTATCACTGTATGCATTCCCCACTCTTTATAGAGGAGTACCGCTAGCAGCACGATGTGAAACTTCATAGGAATATCGTTGAAATCAAACGTATTCTCATATGAGGTCATAATACATTGTACTACATTATTATACACGTTATGTATGTAATATATGTATTATATAATACATTATATACATTATTATATACATTGTACATGTATTGTTAGTTCTTGATATATTTACTACGGGTACAGGCGGGTTTCGCCTAATGAGACAGAACGAACACATGGATATATGGCGTGTGTAAATGGGAACACGCTCATAGTGATATTATCGGTGTGTAAAGAGAAAATACTGTGCGCTGGCACATGTGCGCGCGAGCAATTCCGAAAAATATGGGGCGAGTTTGTCGAATATAACCGCAATATGTGTGCATGTGCGTGTGTGTGCGCGTTTGCTTGCTTAATTTGTGCGCGTGCATGCGTCCGAACTGTCTTGCCTGCGTGCGTGAGCGCGTGCTTGTGCGCTTGCTTGCGCGCGCGCGTGCATGCGTCTGGACTTTCTTGCCTGCGTGCGTGAGCGCGTGCTTGTGCGCTTGCTTGCGCGCGCGCGTGCATGCGTCTGGACTTTCTTGCCTGCGTGCGTGAGCGCGTGCTTGTGCGCTTGCTTGCGCGCGCGCGTGCATGCGTCTGGACTTTCTTGCCTGCGTGCGTGAGCGCGTGCTTGTGCGCTTGCTTGCGCGCGCGCGTGCATGCGTCTTAACTGTCTTGCCTGCGTGTGTGAGCGCGTGTGCGTG